TCCGGTGCTCAGGCCACCCCCGGCTGAAGTCCCCACAACACATACCCCAACTGGACTTAAGCACTAGATGTCCCAACTCTATAAGTGGGGAAACACCAGCCGCTGTACAATGGCCTATAAGAGAACTATAGCAAGGCGGCAGCTGAACCCATCCAACTGTTCTCTGATCCGAACCGAACTGATATCATCTAAGCTAACCGAACCTAACCCAATTTAGCATAATGTTAACTAATCTAGTCTAACCTCCTCTATATAGTATAATCTAGCCTAATATAATAATAATAACTAATCTCAACCAATGCACATCTAACCTAATGTGATCTAACCTAAGCTAATCGAACCTAATCTAATAGAAGTAAGTTAATCTAATCCAACCTCACCTATACACTATTCTCACCTAATAATCTTAGTCTAATGTACATCTAGCCTAAGGCAACCTAATTTGATCTAACCTCTTTTATCCTAGGGTAACCGAATAAAACCGAATCTTTTGTAATCTATAATCTAATCTAAACTAATGTAATTTCAGCGAATCTATTGTCATCTAATGAATGCAATCTAACCTTCATACCTAGATCTGTTTATTGTAAACCCCAACGGATCCAACCACGCCACAGCAGCGACTCTCCTGGTCGTTCATAAGTCCCTATATCGATGCACGGTTGCAAAGATTTCTTCAATTCTAGGCTTTCGGCGCAGTTGAAGGTGCGACGGTTTCAAAATTCATGGGATTTATTGGGTTTAGGGTTTTCCCCCTATAGGATTTCTAAGGGCTTATATACTTAGGGTTTATAGAAGGGTTTTATAGGGGTGAGGGTTTATATCCGGAGGTAGTGGGTCTCTATATATACCCGGAACCTTAAATTCTTTCCACTTTCTTTGCCACCGCAGAAGAACGAGCTTTGCATGCATGGAACCCGTTAGCTGGAGCTGCAACCTTCGACCTGGAAACCTATATTTCGCCCTGAGATCCCTCATGGCCCTTTGCACACAGCTCAATTAAGGAACCGCATGAACTGTCTGGCAGGCCCTTGGCTTTGGACTGCATCGGTTTAGGGGTAAGCTTTGAGGGTTTGGGGTTATAAGGGTTTAGGGTTTATAGGGTTACATAGGGTTTAGGGTTTATATAAGGTCTAGGGTTTAGGGTTTATAGGGTATAGGGTTTAGAATGTAGGGTTTAGGGTGCATGCACCTGACACCTCCCATATGCCACCTGGGCTGTGAACTGCACATGTCACCGCATGCCAAAGGCCAGCCATTGGGAGCCTTCAATCTCGGCCGGCTACATGTCCATGCATCATCATCGAGTTAATATAAGACCCTAGCCCTAAACCCTAAACTCTATCGATACGACATATAAGCCCTATATAAGCCCTAAACCAATATGCAACGACATCAATTCGCAACCATTTAAAGCTACGGCTCCTATGGCTAGATATGCATCATGATGCATGGCATGCCGGCACTCTTCAAGGTCCACGACAGACCCGTACCGAGCACCCAAGAGCAAGCACAAAGTTGCAACCCTGGGTATATAGCCAGGCTCTCTACACCCTAGATATACATACCCTTTGGGGTGCTCGAGGGTCCGCAATTTCAACCAGCTGCAGCCCGTGCACAGATGGCCGCTCCCATGCATGTATGTTTGTATGTATGTATGTATGTGTGTGTGTGTATGTAAGTCAGTATGCATGTATGTATGTATATATATATATATATATACATATATATATATATATATACAGGCATGCATGTGTATATGTACATGCATATGTATATGTTTTTGAATGTCGAGAGATGTGTATGGTATACATGTATATATGTATATATGATTGTGTGTATATATGTATATGTCTAATATGCCTGATATGTATATATATATATGCATATCTGTAATATGTATATCATGTTTGTTTATGTATCATGTTTGTATTTTTTAATTTGTATAAAATGTATCATGTGTGTAATATGTACATGTATAATATTATGTACATATGATATAATATGTATATAAATTCTAGTATGTACAATATGGATATCTAATATGCAAAATATGCATAATATGCATAATATGCATATTATAAATAATATGTATATTATGTATAATATGTACAATATGTATAATATGTATAATATGTATAACATGGTGTGGCACATATGTACATTGTGTATAATGTTCATATTATGTATGATATGCACAATATGCATAATATATGTATAAGTATGCATATATATATATATGTACGTATGTGCACACGTATATGTATATGTCTCTGTATATGTTTCTGTATATGGTCATGAATGTCTAGATGTGTATATATGATACACATGTATAAAACATGTATGTGTGTATATACGTGTTTGCTTATGTATGTATGCATATACGTTAAAATCTTTATATGTATACATGTATATATACGTATGTATGGACATGTGGATACCCATACATATATACGTATACATGTATATACATATAGATGTGTATGTAAATATGTTATTTTATGACCATCTGTATATATGTCCATGGTTATAATGCATTCTGATATGTATATGTATATGCATATATATATATATATATATGTATGTAGATCTGTACGTATCTATTTATACATATACACATATAAACATCCATGTGTATGTATGTAGCTACATGTACCTCGACATGTACATATACATGTGCATATACGTACGAAGCATGAAGATATAGGTATTCCGTTATGTATTTATCTATATATATCCATCTTGTGTGCATGCACATATACATATCTATACCGTTTGTATATGTTACAGCTAGAAATGAACACATCAGAACACCGACTAGAATTACAAAAAGAACAGAAGTACACATCTCTGTGTGTGGGTACGTATGTTTGCACACATGCAACCTGCGACCACCCAATGTGCAACTAGCTACGGTCGGCTCACGGCCGAACGCCCCTTTCAAGCAGGCCCACCAGCCGCCCCATGGTTCCAAGAGCCGTCGTCATCTGGATGGGGCGAGGGCTTCATTTTTGCACTCTACCATGGTACAGACTGTATAGAAGCAAAGCAACCTTCCGCACAATATAGGTTCACTCCAATAAACCCAAGTTGCAAACCCTTGGTTCGCTTATCGTCCATATGTCTCTGTATTTTACGTAGATATTCGAGACATATATATATATATATGCCATGGGTTTGCAAATCACAGGGCTTGTTGCAGGGTACGAGCGAGTACCTTCGGTTTGGGTTTTGATGCTGCTACGATTTAGGGTTAAGGGACTTCGGCATAAGGGTGTTTAGAGTTTGTATGATAAATATATATATATATATATGTATATATATATATATATACATATGGAAAAAAGGCTTAGGGTTTGGGGTTTGGGGTTTAGCTTTCCAACAACTTGCCTGCTGTCGGTGCTCATCTCGCTCCTGCTGCTCCGCATGGGCCCGCCGCTGGTGCTGAATCTTTTTGCCAGCCCGCACACGGTCTCTGTCGCGACCGTGTCCTTGCCTGCCGGGGTTGCATTCGATAATCTATTGGATGCTAATGATTCTGACTAAGTTGAGGACCCTTTATGATCATATGCCCATTGGGTGCTCACAGGATTGTCGGATGATGCGATGTACATAAATAGGGTCTTGCTAAGACAAGCCGAGCTTCGGGTGGAACCTCTTGTGCTTGTCCATCCAGCCGCCGTTCACATACTTCCCGCCCTTGCTGCAGGAGCTGTTCGAGGAGCTTTCGTAGCCACGGCAGCCACCACGGTTCGGCACCCAGGGCTTCTTCACCTTCCACGGCTTGGCTGGCGGCCATGTCTCCTCCGCCCATGTGCACGTGTGCACACCGAAGTCCTCGGCATCGTCCCACCATTCGGTCTTCTCCCATTTGCCATCGGCAGCATCCCACATGCCTCCGTCATCATCCTTGACATCCCACATGCCGCCATCATCGTTCGCATCCCAAGCGCCGCCATCATCGGCAGCACCATCATCGGCAGCCCATGTGCCACCGCCATCGCCCGAGGAGGTGTCCTCGGGCACCTCCTCCTTGCAAACCACGGCCTCGAGAGACCGCTCCATGGCAAATGAAGCCGCGAAAGCTTCACCCACAATCACCTTTTGGCCCAAACTGCGACATGGTAGTGCACTGCACAGCAACTCAAGTCAGGAAAGCATCATTCGACATGTTTGAATGCACAAGCAGAAAAATCAAACTGCATCGGGCATGTCTGGCTGCAATCATGACTGGAGCATGCTACCACTATAGAACAATCAGATATGTTGGTCTATAAAGCAAGATAAGACAACGTAACCTAATACAACACAACAGAATAGAATAAAGTACACTATAATAAAATACATGATATCTCAAAAGGTAGGACAAGATAAAAAGGATTTCGAGGCAATATCATGTCCTATCATCTAAGATAAAATACAAGATGCCATATAATGTGAGACAAGGAATGCTGCAATTCATTGAAATGGAATATATATTATCATATAAGATACAGAAGTAAATAAAAATAATATAACAACATACAAAGCAGTCGTGGATAGATAGACAGATAGGTAGATAGACAGATAGATAGGTAGATAGATAGATTATTCGATAGATCGATAGATTGATAGTTAGATAGATAGATAAATAAGTGATTAGATACACATATACATATAGATAAGTAGATTGATAGATTTCCTTGTTGTATATATATATATATATATATATATATGTATATATATATATATACATGTATATTTGCATGTGTATATATCTATATATATATATGTGTGTATGTGTGTATGTATATATATGCGTACATATATATATATATATATGTATATATACATATGTACATATATATATACAAACATTACATTGGTACATTGTGAAAGCACTCGCGAAATGCCTGCACGAAAGTTTTGGCACGGCCGCACACACAAAGGCAAAGCTGCAACCACCTGGAAAACTGAGCTGCAAAAACCTCGAAAACTGATGCACTGACAAACTCGCGGGATCACAAGTTCTCGGCGGCTAGCGGGACGGCTTCCTGGTCGGGCTCGCCTTCGTGATCTTCGTCGCAGAGTGGCTTCTGTGGTTTGCGGCCTCTCTTCCTCCTCTTCGGACTGCCCGCTGCAGCTTTCCCTCGAGCTCGCTTCGGAGGCGCCGGGGCGGCTGCAGACGAGTGCAAGATAGCCAAGCGAACATAATTCAAGTTTTCTGTCGTGAGTTCAACCCAGAGCTGCTCGCCCTTGATGCCCCAAAGCATCGTCATCTGATGTTCTGCATGTACCTCATCACCGTCAGCATTCTGCACAGCAGGGGCCAGCACCTGCACGGTGCGACCAGCAAGGTACTCGTCCTGCTGTGTGGCTGGCCGAATCTTCTGCGGGATTGGTGTTCCTTCCGCCTCGGCGGCCTCTTTGATCACCCGTTTGAGTGATTCTTGGCAGGCTTCTTTGCGAAGCTCGGCCACGGTAGAGAACCATTGCCTATTGATGTTGTGTTCTTTGCCACTATGCAGCCGCAACCCTTTGCCTGTCACAAACAGGGTGAGGTCGCGATCCCATTTGTTTAATTTGATGTAGTTGCATCCAGACACTACTTGGACCGCGGGTTGCCACGTCGCCTTTTTGAGGCCTGCCCCCTCGATGGTGATGGCCGTGAAAATCCTGATGGGCACTTCCTCCTGATTCTCGTCCTCCTGCTCAGGCTGATGCTGCGACTCATCCGACATTGCTTCAAAACTCCGAACAGCGAGCCAGGCCCTGCTGTTCCTGTCAGCGAGCTGTAGCCCTGCTGACAGAATGAACAAAGTGTTCAACTAGAGCCGTGAGTCTTCAACTGCACACATCCATGGAGTTCCCTGCATGCACAGTCACGCAGGCAGACACACCCGAGGGTTCCATGCCATGATGTATACCGAACATGTTTTGGCACGGCTGCAATCTCATGCTTTGCACTGCCCAGGCTGAAACCTGGCAAAAGCGGTGCATGCGAAATGGAGGTGATGCCTCGCCACATGACGAATCTCCAGAGATCATCTGACATCTTGAAAGCTATGTAAACCCCATTGATTTGTGTCTCTCTCATGCATACATACCCGTACATAAACCCTATAGATAAATCCCTATCTTAACCCTGGCACATAAACCCCTATCTTAACCCACACACATGGAGAGCTCTCGGCATCGAAAATGGAAGTACATGTGCTACATCAGCCATCCGTGCAAAACGGAGGTTCAACAAACCTCACCACGTGACGACTCTGGAAAGACCACCTTGACCTCAGCTGGTCCTCTGTTTCTTGAGCACGAGGGTCTCGACTGTCTCAGCCAGGTCTGGCCGATGCAGCACGAGACTCTCGCCGATGCAGGAGCTGCATGGCTGCACGGGATTACATAGGGGCCTTCTGCCAAACGAGTGGATTAGAGGAGCCTTCAGCAATGGGATGAAGGGGCCTTTTGGCGCACGATTCAAAATTGCCCTGGATGGACCACTTACTTTCGGGCCTTCTTGCTCACCGGCTGCAGAACCTCGATCTCTTCGTTCTTGGCCATGTCGGGCCTCCATAGCACCAAGCTGTCGCCTGCATCGAGCTTGACAAAATTGCGGACTATCGGGAGGATCATCGTTGTGGATTTGCACGTCAGCTTCTGGTTGCTAGAGGCTTTGCTCGCCCAATGCAGCTCCATGTTGGCCTCAGCGCGATCCGATGTGCTCTTCATCACCCATACTGGATTGATGAAGCCCGGCGAGGACTCGGTCTTGGGACCTTGAAAGTAAGCCTGCATGGACATGAGGTGGGTCGTTTTGTTGCTTGGTCCTGCAGCCAAAGCAGCCAACTGCACTGCTCCGGCGGGCACCGTATCACCAACATGAACTTTGGCCGTTGCGATGGGGAGCTTCAAGATGTTGATGTTGTAGCCCTTCTTCACCTGCACATTCTTGCCCGGCTTGAGGAAGACATCAAGGTCATCGACTTGCAACGTCTCGTACTGCTCGTACATGGACCTGAAAACCAGGCCCTTGATCACTGCAATGCTGAACTCCTCACTTCTCAAAGGGGAAAACTTGCTCCATCCCTTGAACAACACGGGCTCTATCTTGGGCACATACATCTTCCACTTGTTCTCCACGAAAGCCTCTGAGGATGCCTCGTATTCCTTGCCATCTTGCAGCTTCAAACGGACCTTGTCGGCGGAGATCTCGATGATGGTGGCCTTCATGTCGTCGGCTCGTCGGATCACTTCCTTCCCAGGCTGAAATCCCAGGTCCACGACTCGCGAGTTCGACACAAGCTTCCCTGTGTCGTCGTAGACCCGCAAACTCCTAGAAAGACACGTTGACTGCATGACCAAACCCCAAACTAACATATATATATATATATACTGCATAAGACAACATGAAAACCGGGAACCTACACCTCGCGGCTGAATGGACCCATCTTGCACACCACATGAATCCCTGAAAACCTATACCTCATGAGCATGCATACCTGGACCCGACCCCAAATCCGCAACCCTCGTTGAAGATACGAAGAGTCCTCACAAGGGCGATGCCCAAGTACACAGACCCCACATATACTCCAACGTGAACCCTATACCCTATACAAGCCCCATATAAGCATCAAGATGTATTTATATGTATATATGTATACAACCAGGCATACACAGATCGAGGCACGAGCCACGAGTGGCTGGGGCTGAGGATTCCGAAGTCTTCGTGGAACTGCTGCTCGCCCAGGGAGACGAGACACCGAACTTTCCAAGGCACGTCCCGGCAGCATCCTCAATGCTGTCGTGCTTGGCAATTTTCTTCTTCTGCAGCACAACGGCGGCCATGTCAACCTCGAGGTCCCCTATCACCGCCTCCACGTTGTCGAAGCCATGCAACAGGCGCTGCACCTCGAAAAGCACGGCTTCGGCTTTCTTCACATTGGGGAGAACCTCCTTTGCTGAGAGTGATCGCTTGATGTCTGTCAAGCTGATGGCCTTTTCGGGGCCGCTCAGGCCCAACTTGATGCACATGTGTCTCCATGCTACATGCTGATCGCTGCCCTTGCAGTCCTGCGAAAGGCCATGCCACAGGTCGCCGCCGAGAGCTCGATTCGGAAACCCCGAAGCTCGAACATACCGCTCTGTCTTCGACAGAAAGCTCGTCTCGCCTGTGCCGCCACCGCACTTCATGACGAAACCGAAGATGGAGGGTAGAGCAGCCGCATGCGGCGAGCGGCTCCGAAGGATCTCAGCCGAGACATCCTGGTACGTGACAGCCTTGCCCGGGTTCCTCTGAAGGAAAGCTGCGATGCTCGCATTGATCCTCTTAGCCAGCTGCATCTCGTGTTCAACCGATGCAATCTGCCCTGAGGCATTCCCCGAAGCTTGCGCTAACAAGCAATACTGAGGAAAGAGCTGGGCGATCTCGTAGCTGATGACCAGCCACTCGTGCCCTTCCCTGATGCTCCGGGCCCAAGCCGCATCATGGGACTGCAGCCTCTCTAACGACAGTACTCCGTCGTTAGTCAAACGATTGTCTTCATGGGTGATCTTGAACCAGAAGCACCTCGATGCCTGGTTGGCGTGGCTGCCAACAATACTGGCATAGCGTATGCCAGTGAGTGGGGCGAGCTTTCCACTCGACCCGCCGATCAGCTTCTCGTTGAAGTCTCTGATGCTGTCGCCTTCTGCTCCCGATGGTACCTCCACACAGATGCCTTTCACCTCCTGCTGGGAGAAGCCAATCGTTGCTATACTCGTCAACAGTTCGTGCACGTGGGAGCAACTGCATCCCAGGCCGTCCCTGTTCTGCTCATGGACACCAATGTGCTGGCAGTGGATGACCTGCTTCCATGCTAGGCCCTGTTGCACCAGGAATTGGTGCAACGAGTCCATCGACTGGACAAGCTTGCCGGCCTCGGCCGCCTTGAGGAATCCCTCGATCATGACACGGTCCGTGGGTGACACCACCATGCTGGTTCTGTCAGCTGCGAGCTATTGCCCTGCGGCTGCAACTACTGCGAGCTAAGCCCTGCAGCAGCAACGGGACTTGATACATGTACACATGCACATGCTGTGTGAACTCGTTCCCGAGCCAAACCGAGCCAAAATGAAAACAGAAACCAAACCAGCCATTCGGCAGATATACGAACTGTGCCAAAAAGGAAACACAAACCAGCCACCCGGCCAAAACAACCCCCCTATATATGCCACACAAACGTATGTATATGTCACCAATATATGCAACAAGCGAACACGGCACAACAACCCAGCCAGCGACAGGAACAAACCAAGCCCTAACTTCATCCCAGGCATATATATATATATATACACACACAAGCACTCTTAACATGCAAACAGTCGCATCAAAAAGGAAACAAACAAGGACCCCGCCTAACTTCCAACCAAACCCCGACCCACCCCAAAACCCTTCCAAAAAAGGAGCCCGCCTGCTCCAGCACAGGCAGCTGCAGGCGGCCCAGCAGCCAGGGCAGGAGGGAAGGAGGAGTTGTCGGGGCAGGGTGGGCATGTTTGGGTTTTGAAGTTTGTTGTTGCTTTACAGTTTACTTGCATGTGATGTGTTGTTTCTCTAGAAGATCCTATGCACGAGAATATTTAGATATTCCATTAAAAAGCCGCTACCCAAAACCGGCAAAAAAGAGATTCAGGTCGCCTCCCTGCTTGCAAAAAAAATCGCAAATTGCCTTTGCCCACTGCCTTGAAACAAAAAAAAAGATGTTTGGGACAATGCGACAATACCAAAAAATCATGATTTTCCAACGACCATGGCCCAGCTCTAAGTGAGCTAAGTGGACTTAGCGAAACCATCGCAACACCCCATTTAGCATATCACTTCTAACCACTTATATCTGGTTTAGTTCATATACCGGTAAGTTGCCTAAGTTGGCTTGGCTATTTACACATAAGTGACTCAAATAGATATAGATAATTAGATAACTGAACCGTATATGGCCAATTGGATGGCCGCCACATATACTTGGACCCTTTCTGGTTGCTAACCTCTCCAACCAACATGCATCACATGCTCACCATTTAACGGGTCAGATAGACAACATGTTCGGTCACTTGGTCGACATATAAGTTGGCATACTAACCTGTGCATGTAGGCCAATTGAATATAACCGAGAGCGACTTTCCAAGTAGGGTTGTCGGCCGGCCTGGTCGCCGCTGCCGCTGAGGCAGCCAGGGAGGAGGAGGCCGAGGAAGGGTTATCGGGCTCTTCCTCCATCACAACCTCAGCCACAGGGGGCGAGGGGCCGGCAGAGCTGGACGACTTGGCCGTCGTCCGGTTCGTCACGCGGCGTGACCAGGGAAAAGGCTGGTCATCGTCGTTAGCCTCAGCCCTTCGGCGAGGAGCAGGTGGGGGAGCGGGAGGTGGGTGCTCCCAGACTCTCTCGCAGTCCTGCTCCTGGCGCGCTTTGGCCTTAGCGCGCGCTGCCTTATCCGGCCGCTGCTTGCGTCTGGACAAGGAGCTTGTGCTATGCCAGATGCCGGTCTGGTCAAAGCGCTCCTGCTGCTCACGAGCATGGCGACCCTTGCCCTTGGGCCCCATGGTGCCCACTTGAGCCGGAGCTGGGAGGCTTGGGCTTAGGCTTGGGCCGGGGCTTTGCTTTGGGCTTGGAGGCAGGGGCGCTTCTGAGAGCAGGGCCTGGAGCCTTTGGAGCCGGGGCCTCTAGTGACGAACCAAGGCTTGCTGGAGCCTGGGCCTGAGGAACCTCCGAAGGGGACCAAGAACCTTCGAGGGGAGAGGGAGCCTTGGGTGCTAGGACCTCAACCGAAGTGAGGGCAGTAGCAGGCGCAGAACCAGAGCAAGGCACAGGGGGGACCACAGGGGCAGCAGCAGAGGCAGGAGGGGAAGCCTGAGGCCCTGGGGAAGGGGAACCTTTAGAGAAAAACCCCCGCACCGAAGGAAGCGCACAGGGCGCTACGAGCTTTTTTGGCGCGGCGCCCACCCGAAGGGTCACGTGGCCGTGGCACTGGCTGCACTTCCAGGACGGCCCCTGGCGCACAAGAGTGTGCGAAGGGTGAGCAGCGAAGGGGCACGGAACCGCAGCCGTTCGGCACGGAAAGGTGATGAGGCGTTCAAAGGTTTCCGGTGTGTCAACTTGGTAGATGCACAAGGAGCACTCAGAGCACTTAACACACATGTTGAAACTCTTCTCCTATAGAGGTGCGGGACCAGACGTGCCCACCCGGAAGAGGGGGCACGTCGAGTAAGGTCTGCAACCTCTGCCTCTTGTTGGGCGAGGGAGAAGCGGAAGGCTCAAGTGCGGAGTGGAGGCGGTTCTTCCGCGGGACGAAGTCCTCTTTTTCGGCCTTGGCCAGTATGGCAGCAGCTCGGCGGCCCAAATACTCGCAGACGAGGGAGGTGACACGGTCAACCTCCTTTTGGGCAGCGAGGCGGTGAGGAGTCTGAACCTCTTCAGCACGGTCCTTGGCGAGCTTATCTGCAAGGGAGTTGAGCTCACGACGCCACAAGGCGTCAGCACCAAACTCAAGACAGAAGTCTGAGGGACTGAGGTGGGAGCGGACCCAGTGAGGTTCGGCTCTGTGCCTGTGGTCCCACGCCTTAGACCACACAAGCGAGGTGCGCTTGGTAAAGGGCCCTTGAAGGCTCCGAAGAGCGGGCTGGCAGTCGCAAGTGAGGTCAAAAGTGCCCCGCGAGGAGAGGAGGGCCTGCGCGATGGCCTCGCTTTCGCCTTCCGGAACGGAGGCAGGGGCCGGCAAAAGCCCCGACATGGTACCAAGGACAGTGAAGTCGCCATTGTGTCTGCTAGCGACTATAACAGCCCAGCCGACCGAGCGGAGGCGACTGTCTTTGGTGGCAGGGCCTCCCGAAGCGTCAGTAGCGACGAAAAGCCCCGTCAAGTCTGGGGTGCCGTCAAGGAAGAGGCCAGTGCGGCGGACCTCAGCCTCATGGGCGAGGGGCTCGCGGGTGTTTAGGGGCCGCATCCCCCGCAACCAGAGGCACTCGGCAGGGTGGCGCCGCTTATAAGACAGCAGCCAGCCCGCGGGCATGAGGGCGCCGGGGACCTTCTCACACTTGTAAAGGAGGTGGTGCAGGGTGTTGGGCGCACCACAGAATTTGCATTGGTCCTTCCCTCCATTGCCCGAGTGAAGGAGGGCGCCTTGAAAGACGGCCCTAAGGCCGTGCCGCCAGGACTTCGTCCGAGGACTGGCCAAAAGGCGGTGCGGCACGGTCCAATCAATGCCTGTGGCGGCGCCGGCGGCGGTGGAGATCGCGCCGATACGAGTCCAGCGCTCAAGCTGGATAACCTGCTTGAGGAAGGCGGAGGCCTCAAAAACCGCTCCTGGCTCGCGGAAGCGGAAGTGAAAGGTAGCCTCGCGGTGTGTCCAAACTTCAGGGGTGGGAGCGGACACTCGCAAGTCAAGCAAGTACTGGATGAGCGCGGACACTGGGCCGTTCACGATTTTCCACCCATGCTTGGCAGAGGCCTGTCACTGTCTGGACCATGAGGAGGCCCAGGTGCGCGTGAGTAACCGCACGCCTTCGGGAGAGGCGCTGGAGGCAAGACGCCCAAGAGCCTGAAGCTGTTCCACTACCACAAGCTGGTGTGGGTCAACGGCCTTGTGGGACATGAGGTCTAGGATGACATCAGCAGAGCCATGCTCAAAACGGCCAGCTTCACGCGCAACAGCCGAGCGCAAAACCTTGAGGCGCTTAGGGGCAACCCCAACGGCCTGGTGGCCATAAAGGCCCGCCTTGAGGGCGGAGGCTTGGAGCAGCCGGCCCCGAACCCACCTGCGGCGAATGCGAAGACGGCGCATGTGACGGACGCGCTCAAGGCCGGTGCGGAAGCGTTTTTGGGCTGTGGTGATGCGCCGCCGCCGGCCTGCAGCACAGTCGAGCCCGAGGTCCTTGACCAGGTCGGCGGTATCGGGCTCACCGGGGCGCCTCAACTGCTGAAGCGCGGCGCGGGCGCGGACCGTACCAGCAACGAACTTGGTCTTTGTGGTCTCAACCTCAAGGCCCTCGAGGCCGAGGGAGGCGTGGAGCACCCGGTAGGCCTGGAGAGCTGCAGAAGCCACTTCAACAGGGTCGGGACCAACCACATCCAAGCTCACGTCGTCCAGCCACAGATCGGGAAGAGCGGAAACCTTTTTGAGCGGCTCCGACATGGTGAGCTTGGAAAGGGAGGGTGCGAGAGGGCACCCCTGTGGAACACCTCGGCCGGGGAAGAGCGGGGTGGCCGCTATCGAGTCGGCGACGAGGCAGCGCGGCCCCTGGTAGACTTGAAGGGCGAACCAGAGGTGGAGCGGTGGAAACCGGTGAGCCAGGCCTTGGAGGAGTAGGCGCTCATAGCTCACGGAATCAAAGAACCCGCGAAGGTCGAGAAAGAGACTGACTATGTGAGTCTTCTCGAGCTTAGAGTGCTCCGACCTCACGAGGCGGGCCAGCGCTGTGTCGAGGCTGGCCTGGCCCGGAACCGCCCGATCCCACGGGTGATCGGGGGAGTACGCCGACGTCCAAGCCGCGATATCCTTCCACCTGGCGCGAGCCCACAGCCTCCACAGACAGGGGAGGAGACTGATAGGCCGCTCTTTGTCGGCAGACTTCGGAAGAAGAGCTACCTGGACGCAGGTGAGCTGGAAAGGCAGAAGGACCTCAGCCTCCGCGCGGGCGAGGAAGTCGGCGACGAGCTGAAGAGCGGCTGGATCCAAGGCTCGCAGAGCTGGGTAACTCCAGCCGTCTGGGCCACCTTTCTTCTTCCCCGCTTTTTTGAGAAGCTTTTGAAGGTTGGGGACGGTCAGTGGAGCAAGAGTGCCGGCGTGAGAGACGGCCCTCGAGCGGAGCTCAGCGAGGAGAGGGTGCGAAAAGGGCTGAGAGACCGAAGCGTGCCATACGCGGGCCCAGTGTTCATGCCTCTCAAAGGCGCGACGGAGCCCATCACAGTCCTGGTAGGGCCGGTCAAGCACCTGCTCATGAGACTTGATGGCGCGAAAAAGCGGCCCAAGGTGTGAGCCGGAAGCTTCCTCCAGCCACTCACCATACTGGTCAGCCTGCCGGGCGATTTGCTCCCGCCGAAGCTGGCCGAGGAGAGCAGTGCCCTCAACACGGAGGCTGGCAGGAGTGCCTGAGGCTCTGACCGAGGCCCAAAAGGGCCAACCTACAGGCCCTCCGCACTCCGGCCAAACAGCCCGCGGAGGTGTCAGCCCCCCCCGGGCTCGGGCCGACACCCTTCCAGTTTGGGCCGGTGCCCGCTCAGACCGAGGAAAAGGCTGACGATGCCCTTGAGGACGAACCCAAGGATCCCCCGGAGCATCCGGGCAGTCGGCCGGCTGCCCCTGCAACACCTGCCAAGACCCGCAGCCGATCCCCATCTCGACTTCCTCCTGCTTCCGAGGCTGAGTCTAAGGGCTCGTAGGATGGTGGTAGGGGTTTGGGGGTGGAGTTTTGCGGGCCTCTTGGCTTTGTTTCGACCTCCCCGGGCCCTGGTGTTTCCACTCCTGACCCTGCACCCACCACGCTTGTTTTTCCCTCCCCTGTCCCTTCCCCCCGCGGCCAAACCGTTTCGGGGCCTGAGGTTCAGGGTCGCTACTTTTCCCTTTTGCCGTCGGGCCAAATGCCCGTGGCACAACTCCTTCCGGGCGAGGGGTACTGGCCAACCTCTTTCTTTGAGGCGCCATCGGCCTCCCCCCCGGTTTTTAACTTCACTCTTGACGGCCCAGGGTTGGGAGCTCTTCTTCACCCTCAGGTGTTCGTTCCTCCCTCGGCCGATCCTGTCCTCTCCTCCCCTCAGTGGGTTGAGGTTACACGTTCTTCTCGACGGCAGCCTCGGACTCTTTCTCTTGAGTCCCTGGTGGCGCCTCCTTCCTCCCTCACAGGGCCGGCTTATTTCCCGCAGGCTTTCGCCTCGGACCCCAGCCCTGACTCGACCTGGTGCCCTTCCTCGGCCCAGCCCTCCGGCTCATCGGGCCGTCGAGGTTCCAGGCGTGACCGGCGGTCCCAGCACCGCCGCCGCCGACTTCAAATGCCGGGCCTTTTCACCCAGCTCCAGGTCGAGATGTGTGACCAGGCCCTGAGCCCTGCCTCGCCAGTTGAGCGTGACCTCGTTGAGTTTGCTTCTAAGGTGGAGGATGCTATCTCGCCGGGTTCCTCGGAGGAGTGGTTTTTAGAGCATGCCCTGGATGCCATCCACGATGACCCACCCTCCCCCGCGAAGTGGCACCTCCTCAAGCAGATGGCTCAGGTTCTCTCCTTGCAGCACAACACCCCTCACAATCCTGCCTCCTTCAGACTCCTCACCGCCAACGTCACTCACTGGAGGCCAGAGGTTCGTGATTGGGCCTTTTCCCTTGACGCCCAAGGGGTTTTGCTCCAGGAGCTCCACCTCACTGCTGACGCTGCGCATGAGGCCACAATCGCCGCCTCCAAAAGTGGGCTTCGCCTCTTCACTTCGCCACCTTTTCTAAGCGAGAAGAAGCGGCCCCTGGGAGGTTTTGGCGTTCTAGTCCGCTCTTTCCTCAACCCTCGTCACGTCCTCACCCACACCGTTGAGGGCTGTGGTTTTCTCGCAGTTTCGCTTCGGT